TAGTTGGCATTATAACTTAAAGAGCAGGGTTTAGCTTAAGTATTATAGAGACTTACAGAAGACATTTTTCAAATTTACTGAAGGTTTTACCAGTAAGCACTTAAGCAAATGTAAACATTGTGTGGGCTGCAGGGGAGCTGTGAGTATTAGTCACTACCTAGTCATGCTGGTCTAGTGGACACAGACCCGACCAGGCACAGGCCTGCACAGCTTCGAAGGCTTGTTATGATTAGTCTCTCAGTGTGTGTACACTGCTAATGTAATAAGAACATAAACATTTGGTAAGTATAGAAATTTCTTTGGGTAACGTTAACCAGTGATTTGAAGCAGCAGGAAAAACAAATTTGGTCTCAACTTAGTTGCAGAGGTGTTAATGTCATGAAGATTGCTCTGGAAGTAAGATCTTTCGGTATCATGAAGCATGGAGTTTAGGAGTCAGCGGAAAGTCTTAGTATGTATCATCAGACTTAGTCATTGCTGGGATAAGCAAGGGGGTACACTGAGAGTCTCTGAACGCCACAGTCTCCCTGGAAGTCGGGAGAACAGAAAAGGCATGCATGACTGAAGCACTCTGAGTTCCGAGTGTTGATGTCAGCCCTATGTGATGGGCCCTTAAGGTCCTGTGTCCCGTCTTACAGCTGTAAGACACCCAGGTATTCTAATATTCACTTGAATAAAGAGCTATCATATCTTAGGCCCTTGTTCTGTGTTCCCGGCTTTCTGTTTGCTTTGTTTAACAGTGATCAAGATTCATAGAGGCTGGTGTCCCTCCTCTGAAGACTGGGCATGAATGAGTGCTGCTCCCATTGGTGGCTGTGAGTGCATGCTTAGGCACTGTCTCTTTTGTGGTTTGTAGGACTTTATTGGGCACCACTTTTAGGTACAGAGAATATCAAATTGGATACTGCAGACTCACTGCACCAAAAATGTGGCCTGGGACATGTGCAGGCAGGATGGCAGACCCTATTTACACAAAAGCCCCAGAACAGACATGGGGGTTCTCCTCTTACAGGTGGAGGGGTTCAAGAAGAGAAAGGTGAAGAAGAAGAAAAAAATGGTCTTGGAAAGGTTTTATTGGTGTTACTATGTTACTATGTCATAGCATTTGTTTTCTGGAAGTGCTGAGGATGAACTAGAGCTCCATGCAGGCTAGAGAGCCATTCGTATACTGGCTCTACCCTTAGCTCTTGTCTATCTGTGAGATGGAGAAAAGTCTGGGGAGAGCATTTTCTCTCCTTCCTAAACCCAAGAGAGCAAACAATGGAGCGGTCATCAGAGCAAGCCCAGATTATATGGGCCTGCTACACTTGCCTTAGTTGCCAGCGTCTAAAACTCACTGCAAAGCCTACATTCCCAGAGCAAGGTGATGCACCCCCACATGTCTGCCAGGCTCAGCCTCTACAGCTCCCTCTCTTTAAGTAAGGCCATGTGCCTCCTTCCTGTGGGCAGCTTGTTTCCTGCTGTGTCTTCATTTGCAAGCGCTGTCCCAGACTAAGTTTGCAGGTTGGAGGGAGCAGGAGCAAGGTAATGCTTATCACTAGGAGCACACACAGCTCCCCATCACTTCCAAACTTGTGGGGACAGAAGGCCCACCTTCACTTTTTAAGTTGTGTTTATTAAAGTCTTGCAAAGACTCCAAATCCATTAACTCTCTTTTGCACAAGTTAATAACCCCCTATAAATTAAAAACTAAAGGGAGAGTTATAAAGTTAAACCATCCAGCTCAAGTAAAAAAGGAAAAGTACAGGTCTCCTGTGCAGTGGACACTGGATGTCGGAGGATGAGTAAGAACGGGGGCTTCAGTGGGTACCCTGCCCAGTGGCTTAAGTAGATTCAGATTGTACCTCTGCACTGGGAACTGGTCTTCATAGATGAATCAAAGCTATTTGTGGGGGTTTGAGTAAGAATGGCCCCTATATGCTCATGTGTTAGGATGTTTTATTCCCAGTTGGTGGACTGTTTAGGAAGAATTAGGAGGTGTGTCACTGGGGGTGGGGTTTTAAGATTTTAAAAGCCCATGCCAGGCCCAGTGTCACTCCCTGCCTTGTGCTTGTAGATCAGTTTTGAATTCTCAGCTCCAGCACCATGCCTCCTGCCTGCCACTACCACACTCCCTGGCATGATGTGGACACAGCCTCAGGAACTACAAGCAAGGCCACATTAAATACTTCCTTTTACAAGTTGTTATGGTCATGATGTCTCTTCACAGCAGTAAAACAGTAACTAAGACAGCATTGGGATCACCTGTCCCTCCCCCTGAAACTCCAGTCTTTATATAAATGCTTTTCCTGTAATTTAGATGAGTTAATGTGGCACCCTTTGTGTCTGAGGAGGTTAGCTCAGAAGTCTACCCTGGTGCTGGGCGTTGGTGGCTCACGCCTTTAATCCCAGCACTCGGGAGGTAAAAGTCAAGGCCAGCCTGGTCTACAGAGCGAGTTCCAGGACAGGCTCCAAAGCTACAGAGAAACCCTGTCTCAGGAAAAAAAAAAAAGGAAGAAGTCTGCCATGACTTACACAACTTGGCCCTAGAAACCTAATTGGGGTGACAAGGGAGTGAAGAAAGGACAAGGATAGACACACACACAGAAAAGCTAGGGTCTGGTAGGCTGCAGGTGTTTATTTAATACAGAAACTTGGTGGTATAAATACCAGGAGGAGCTTAGTAAGGTCTCTGTGGGGCAGTCTCAGGCTACAGTCATGGAGGAGGAGGCTGTGGGACAATCTCAGGCTACGGTCATGGAGGAGGGTGTGGGGCAGTCTTGGGCTACAGTCATGGAGGAGGGAGCCATAGTTGCTGGTTTTAGCACACACTGGTCAGACATTAGTGAACAGTCATATTTGGACCACTGGAAGGCTTTGCCGTTTGTCTAATCTTCACACGGGAAAGGCATAACCATGTGTCAGCACACATTCACTCAGGACATCTTCATAGGCTCTCCATAGAGGTCAGCTCGGTACAGGGTTCACTCTTTTGTTATATTTTGTTACTGCCTGATTTCAAACAGCAGACCACTCTTCTCTTCCCACATTAGAGAGTCTTTCAATTGGTTTTTTGAAACTCCTTTAGTATAAGCAAATATACTGTTTTCTTCCTTCAAATTTTTTTCATATAATACAACTTCCATGGCCTAGTATAATCAATAGTAAGTAGGAATATTTGATGTTTGTTATATTACTTACATCCCTCTTAAATATGGCTTAAAATTTAGTGTTTTAAAATAGGCTTTCTATCTCATTTTCTTTAAGTTTTGAAATTATACCAGTGTTCTGCTGCTTTATCAAATCTACAGCTTGAGACTTAATCAGAAATAGAAAATTCCTAATAAGATTCCAGGAAGACATTTTCAGAACAGTTATCTGTAGAGACATTCCCCCAGAAACCCATTTCAAATCTCAAATGCGGGATTTATGCAGGAAATTAGAGTTAAATTGGCTTGATTTGGTGAAGGTTTAAGCTTTTCTTTTGTTTTTGAAGAAAAGAAATTTTATTTGGTAATTTAAAAATCATTTATTCGGGAAGAATGGGAAAGAAGTATGAGATTAATGTTTATATAGGCCAATTACCTGTGTTCATAACATAAAGCTTAATTCAGTGCACTGTTTTCTGGACCCCCCCCCAACACACTGCTTAAACAGAAGGGCCCAGTTTCCCCAGCAAATTTTATTTATTAAGTGCAATAAGTTGGAAAATTAAAGCTTGTATTTCTCCTCATTGCCAATACCTATAAAAACTTCTCCTTCAATAGAGCTACATCAGGACTAGTATTTAGTAAACAAAGCCATGTTCCATTCCAATGGAAGAAAGTATGGCCCATTGAAATGTGTGGATAAACCCCATTCTTGCCCTGTCAGTTTTGAAATACCATTCAGTCCTCATCGTGAGCCAGGAACCCTGAACTCTTTGCATGAGTGGCTGAGTATGAAGGAGCACTCTTGATGTGTCCATCCTCCCACGCTGTCAGACAGACAGGGTTGCTTGCCTTGTCTGTACACATGCTCGTACCCTCAAATCAGCATGCGGTTATTGACTGTATTACTGAAATTTGGTCACTGTCATACCCTCTGCTTATTCATTTCCGATCTTTCTCATACAGAGTCATTCCAACCAGTACCATTCAGAGACCTTAGTGCCTCTGGTCCTTCTGGACACTGTTACAGGTGCTGTGATAGAAGGTTAGAAACACCAACATTTTTTTGAAGATCAGTCAACTTTGCCTATTGCAAGTTCATTTTTTGTGATTTGATAGAAGAAAATTAAATTCTTATACAAGTTGTAACTGCAAATAAAAATGCCTGTATGTAAATAAAATAAAACACACACACACACATCCTTGTCTGTAGGCTTTGAAATAAACCAGGGAAAGAATCACTTTTTGATTTTCAAAACCCCTCCCTATATCCTATTTAAATAATTCTCTCTCGTTGGATGTGTTCTTTCATGTAGCTTATTTTACAGTGAGATCTCATGGAACTTGTGTCTGTGTGTTTAATGTCTGGCTTCTTTTCCAAATCAAACGTCCCCATTTTCCTGTCTGTTCTGTTGCCAAGCAGTGTAGTGATCAACTGTCCAGGCAATGGTGAATGGGAATAAATGTGTAACAACCAAACAGGTGAAGCCCCTTGCACAGCTAGTGAGTGCTCTGTGCTCCATAAGAGGTTCCATGAAGTATTTCTATTTCCTGCTTAACTGAATTACAGAAGAAGAACTTGGCACAAGGTGGCACAGCTGGATGGAGTAGACCCTTTCCTTTCTTATGGTCTTGCTATTGAACCTTTTTACCTAAATGAGTTTGACTCTAACTTCAGTAACAACACGGGAAGAGCCCTCACACCACCCCACCTTTTTGTTGAGGAAACAAGGGCCAGACAGCTTCAAACAGACAGTTGCGCTGATTCATAAGTGGTTAACCATCCAGGTCTGACCTAGTCTCAGAGTACCTGCATCCTGGCCAGTGTGCTTAGTCATTCTGTCATCAGGAAAGCAGACAATAATAATAAAATTTAAAGACGTTAAAATAATTTTGTTATGAAAATGTTTAACAGGCACTAGAGTGGAGACAATTAGGGCTCCCATGACTCAGGGTTAGCAGTCACCAACACTTTTACTACCCCCTTCAACTTCCTCTTATGGTGCTTTATGCTTTCTCATCAGGACCAAAAACCTGCAAATAATCACACAGAGACTCATTAATTATGAAACCTTATCCTCGACTACCTCTTACAGCTTTAATTAACCTGCTTCTATTAACCTACATTCTGCTATGTGACTCAGTTACCTCTCCTCTGTACTGTATTATTGCGTGATATTTTACTCTTCTGGGTTTTTTGAGGGGCCCACCACTCAGCTCCCAAGTAAATCACACACAGAGTCTTATTATTACTTCTGAATGCCTTGCCTTACTTTAGCTTACTTCTAGCCAGTTTTTCTTTACTTCAAAATTAACCCATCTACCTTTTCCCTCTGGGTTTTTCCTGATCCCTTTTGAATGTTACTCTTACTCCGTGGGTGGCTGTGTAGTTGGATGGCTGGGTGGCTGGCCCTTGATGTCCTCCTCCTCTTGTTCTCTTGCTGCTCCTCTTGGCTCCATATTTCTCCTTCTATTTATTCTTTCTGCCTGCCAGTCCAGCCTATCCTTGCTCCTGCCTCACTATTGACCATTCAGCTCTTTATTAGACCATCAGGTGTTTTAGACAGGCAAAGAATCACAGCTTCACTGAGTTAAAACAGATGCAGCATAAACAAAATAATATTTCTCCAACACCATATGTCTAATTTGATCTTCATCTTGCTGTCATCTCTCATGCCTTGATTCATCCCTCTGACTTTCTCTTTCTGCCTGGAAATCCCGCCTTTTCTCTCCTGCCTAGCTACTGGCCATTCAGCTTTGTATTAAGTCAATCACAGTGACACATCTTCACAGCGTACAAAAGGATATCCCACAACAGTGCTTTTAATGGTACACACAGCTGAGGCTGTTTGACTAAGTCAAGCCATGTTAGGTGAGTCAGGAAAATCAAGGGACATGCTATTGCTCTGCTAGCAACTACTGCTTCTAGGTCATGACCCCATGTTCTTTTTTGCTGGAACAAGTCAAGAGGCTTACATCACAAGGCACTTAAAAGTAGGTGACCTGTCCTGGCCAGCCAAAGTGAGCACTGAGTTTAGTGGCTCCTGTAGGTCCAGAGAGTAGGGCTTTGCCATGTGAGTGCCAGTGTTGTGTTGGTGGTGGGGTGGCATATGTGACCTGTAGCAAGCCTGGCTGGAGTCTTACCTGGTTCCAAGGTAATGTCACTGGTGCTAGTCTTTGAACTCCATCCAGAACCACTGTGGAGGGTGGGCCCAGAGCCTTTCTGTTCAGCTTACCCCTGGAGCCAGATGTAGCACTCCACGTGGACGTGGACTGCTATGGAATAAAGGATGGAAGGAGCAAAACGGCAACAGGGAAGTTTAAAACAGTTCTCAGTGCAGAATAAAGCGACAGGAAGAAGGGGCTTCCACATCCTGCCTCAGCTTATCTTCATGGTGTAGATACCACCTGGGCGGGAGATGCAGGTGGGCCTTCTGAGCGGTTGCTAAGGGAATGATCAGGGGACAGCACACGGGGCAGCTGGCCTGAAATCAAAGAAGGGCTGCCCTCAGTCTGTGACCTGTGGTACTTCACTCTCATCATGTAAGCAGAGAGTCGTTGTTCTAGTTAACAAGATGACAAAGGATCACTTTCTCTAGATGAAAAATAGGTGTCTATTGAAACTGAGTTTGGGGGTGTGTTCCCACAGCACTAGGCTCGCTGCTTGTGGCCCTTGCTGGGCCCTAACACCACATACACAGCTGAAAGTGCCAAACTTCTACAACTTTGCTGTGGTGTTGCCACTTTCCTGGTAAATTGAACTTTGAAACATAGCCCAGTGGCCACCAGCAGCTGCATTCTCTCTTCCTGAAACCACTGTCCTTGTCTACTTCTTCCTCCGAAGTTTCAGAGACTACTGGCTTCCTGTCATGCTGGAGTTACATTGGATACATTTTTTTTTAATTTTTAGAATTACATTTAGAGGGGTGGGGGAGCACTGTATAAATCAGAGAACAGTTTTCACGAGTTGTTCCTTCTTCCACCAAGAGACCTGGGGTCAGACTCGGGTCATTGGCTTTGAGACAGTACTTTCCCCACTTAGCCACCTCCCAGAGCCTCCTCTGCCGTTTCTGCTGTCCTCCCCGCTCATCCATCATGGGCTTTCAGTATAAACTTTCACTTCCAGTCAGATGTGGTAGTGCACACCTTTAATCCCAGCATTAGTTAGTAATTAAGTAAACATAGGATAGATTCACGCCCTCCTTGAAACATTTCCACTCTGTCCTCCCATCGTGGCTCACTAAGGTGGGCACCCCATGTTACCCTGTTTCATCTGTTGCTACAGCCAATAGTGAGGGAGCATTCTCTCCTCACTGTATTTCAGCCTGTGTCTGTACTTCAGTGATAACTGTTCTTTGTGCTTCCTTGTCAGGAAGTGAAGTAGGTGAACAATGAGGAAGACCCAAGGGACTCATACAGGAGACTAGTCCCCACTGACAAGAACCCACAGACCTAAGCCGACCCCTGGGAAGCTCTGGGCCTTTAAACACAAGCCCAGGCCCACCTGCTAAGTTCTTTTACTTGCACTGAGTCTTACTCTCAACAGAAAAAATGAAGAGATACTATATATATTCTCTCTCAATATACTTTATTAATTTTAAGAGTTGATTTTGTTGTTGTGGGAGAGGTTGTGATTATTGTTTTTGAAACTTAGGATGCTATTTTCCACCTCTCCTGTTGGCATTTTTTGGCTTGGTTTTGCTTCAATTTTAGGGTCATAGCCACAGTGTTAATGTAGATTATGGAGGTGGGTGCTCTTCTGTGCCACTGGCGAGAGTGACACCTATGCAGTACAGACTGGCAGCATGTGTCATATCATGCCCCTCTACAATATGCATATCAACATCAGAGCCTAGTGGCTCTAAAATAACAGGATAGTGCATGCCATCTAGCTCAGCAGGTTCATATCTAGGAGTTTCTCCCAAGTGGAGCAATGAGCAGAAGTCTCCATAAGAAATTCATCCCAGCATTATCTGAATTTTTAAAATGGTAAAAATATTGTGCCCAGAAAGGGCATATTGATTAACTTAGTTGTCATATATCCATAGAGTAAGCCATTCTGTAGCTGTCTAATGTTGTAAACCAAGTAGTGACATGGGGACCATGAAGGTTTATGGAAATTAAGGAAGTAGCAAAACCTTAATTGAGTGTGTATTTACTTTTAAAGTAACTGTAGCACAGGAAAGGCCAGAGAGACGTAAACCATATCTGTCTCGGGGTCATTTATAATTTCTTCTTTTTTATCTTTATAGTTGCAAATTTTCTGATTTAAATGTGCATAATGCACATTTACAATAAGGATTTTAGCAAAACTGAAACACAACAGGATAATGAACCCAAGGACTCTGAAGTTTGCCACTTGGGGCACTCTCTCCTGTGCTGGGCTTCCCAGGGTATGCTGGGTAAATATCTTCATTCTTGTTTGTGCAGCCTGTCAGCCTACTTGGTTTTCATTCATGCCCCTGAGCACATTGGTTTAAATGCCAAGATCAAGCCTCATGATTTTCTGTGATTCTAACACAGGTCAGAAACTAAACTTCCACCCCCAATTGCCTATCTCAATAAATTAAATTCATGTGTGCGTCTCTGAAAGGGCTTTTCATAGCACTAACACCCGGAATCCAACTACTTCCCTGCTGGCCCTTAGAGAGGGGAACAACCCTCCTCTTCTCCTTTTTTTTTTTTTTAAACACAGGGTCCAATTCAGGAAAAATAAATATGTTTATGAGCCACATTTTTCCCACCCCAAATAAAACTAGCCTTTTGGAGTCTGGTGTATGGGAAGACCTGTTCTTATAACCTGAAAGAACAACTGTTCGAATGCTTTCCTAGTTGTTACCACCTCTGTTCTCCTTTCTGAGCATGTGTGATAACACCTAGGCAGCTTCCTAATCTTCCATCTGGAGAATTCCAGACCGTTCCAGGTCCATCAGTGTCTGTCCCAGCCTTAGAGAAAGAAGTCTGTTTCAGGAATGGAAATGGGAAATTGCAGGATGGAGGAGGTAGAAGTGTATTATGTCCAATTTAGATTCCCACTCCTTCTAGATCTTCACGTTGAAGACAGTGTGCATAGTGGGATTTCCATGAGAAGATAGGAACAACATCTGTTTGAGGATGTGTGGCATCGGGAGGCAGTAAGATTTAGCAAATGATGGGGGCAGGGATAGAGAGAGACTCAGCAGTTAGGAGCTCTCAGTTCTCTTGCTGAGGACCCTGCTTCAGTTCCCAGCAGCCACACAGTTCACAGTCATCTCCAGTTCCAGAGGGGTCTGACCTCTTCTGGCCTCCTCAAGTACCAGTGCACACATAAAGACTAAAAAATAAAATAGATTAGGAAGGAAAATGAGTAGAAGCAGAAGTGTAGAGTAGGAAAGACGTCTGTCCCCATTGTTGAGTGCTAAAGGCGGGCAGTGAGTTCAAGGTCACACAAGACGCAGGCTAGAGATCAAGTCTAGCCAGGTGCTGTGATAGTAAACCATCCTCTTGGATGTTTTTAGAATCTTTCCCAGCAGAAGCAGAAACAATAGCTGTGTCACAGAGAGGGGAAATTCTGGGGTGGGAATGATGGACAGACAGATTGGAGAGGAATAGGGGTGTCCAAGTATTTCAGAAGTCAGTTGACTATGGTTTCCAAACAGGTGGCCAGGGGACAGGTGGGTGCAGATGCACTCAGATCTTAGTGATAGCCATGGTTCTTCCGTCACCTCATGATGGCCACAGCCCCTGTGTGTTCCCGTTTTCCTCAGAACCCCACTCTCCTCTGTTCTGCCACAACCCCTTGATGGAAAGAGATCCAGCTAAGTGAGAGTCAGAGTGGGATTTCTTTTCTAATGCCCCAGCTCTGTGGCTCTGGTATTACATGACACTTGAGCTGCTGGGCCATCCTGCTCCTCCGCTCCCATCTCCTTTGGGGCTGGGGAGAAGGAGTTCAAAGGCAACATCATTCTGTAAGTTAGTCCTTCTTAGAGAGCCCAACTCACAGTTGAGAGCACCTCTCCTCAGTGGGAGCACACCACAGCCTTGGCAACAGAAGGGTATTATCTCAAGTGATTGCCTCCCTTGAAGAAACGACATTTTTAAAACCAGAACTCCCCAGAAGCTGCTAACTGGTAACTAGGACTTCTCATGAGGCATTTTGGGGCCCTGTAATTGAGTGGGTCTTTGACACTGCAAACATGATTTTCTTGGGGGTTGAATTGTAGCTTTTGCAGAGAAAGCACAGTCTTGAGTAACCTATATTGATTCTAAGAAAAAATAATCCATGTATATAAGCAGGAACCAGGAAATCACAGTTTTTCTAGACTCCACAGTCTTCCACACTGTAGAATGTTCTTTTACATACATAAACCCTCTGTGACTTCCCATTGCCAGTCATAGCCACAAACCAAGTTACATCAGTGATAGTTTGCATCAGCCCCCTGGCGTTGATTGTTGTCACAGAACTGTAGGACCTTAAGCCTGTGGTGTACTTGCAGGTTCCCTGAAGCAGACATTACTGTTTGGTGTCATTGACTTGGTAACACTAAAGTGAAAGCAACTGAATAGGATGGCTTCCAGAGGGATCCTGTCTTTGTCCAAAACTTGTACTGTTTTCATCTGTCCCTTATTTAGCAAGTTAGAATAGAGCCCTGAAATGTAGCCCTGTATAAGCCCTCACTTCAGCCCTGTAAGAGATGAGTGACAGAGACCTGCAGATGAGGAATGCAGGGGGCTCCACCTCCTCCCTGAGCTTCTTTACAGTCTCAGAAAGACTTCCCACAGCTGGGAAGAAGGCCCCATCACCTTCAGTGGATGTGAAGGTGCTGGCTCCTCATTAGTGCGGGCTCTTGTCCAGAGCCAAGGGGAACGTGTTCACTGTGTCCTCTGCTCTCTTCCAGCCCGTTGCTAGCTGTGTGTTTTGCCACCTGTTGCGCTGTGCCAGGAGTGGCCCTTCTGACCTGGGGAGTGAATCCACTCACAGGGGCTCTGGGCGTCTTCAACATTTTCCTGTATACCTGTTGTTACACACCGCTAAAGAGGATCAGCATCGCCAACACCTGGGTGGGAGCCGTGGTTGGAGCCATCCCACCTGTCATGGGCTGGACGGCGGCAACTGGAAGCCTTGATGCTGGTGAGTGTCTCCTGGTGCAACATTGTGGCTTTTCTCCACAGACAGGATTGAGAGTGCCCAATGGAAGAGCTCGGGTCTTCCAAGTGAGCTCAGCACTCGCCAGTCCATGGGGCTTGCTACAGTTCCATTTCACTCCAAAGATTCTTTGTGTTGATGGGGCAGTCCTGAGCTGGAGGGAGTCCATGTCACCCTGACATGGTAGACATAGGGAAGGCCTAAGAGAAAACAGTAGGCAATGCTGCCTCAGCCAGGACGGCAGGTAAAGTGAGGAAAAACCCTGAAAACAGTGAGGAAAATCAGATCACGTGAAGACTGGCTGATTTGCTTGGGAGGGCCCAGTCTGTGGGGAAGGGATGTGGAACTGGCCTCCCGGCCCCTGTTAAAGCCATGGTACCTAGCTGACAAGCCTCCCTCTTTCCCCTGGAATAGGCTCATTTTCCCTTGTGAAAGGACAGATTATCTTCATTAGCTCCTCGTTTACTTTTACATGATTTGCTTAAATTGTTCCTGCTGTCTACAGTAAAACCATTCAATGGGCCCCCATATTTTGATGGTATGTCACAGCTGGATTTGTGGGGTGAAAATAGCTCATTTTACCATCTGTGAGGGGAGTGTCACAGTCTGATTAGTCAAGTAATTAGTGTTTTGACCGACACTTAGGAAGGAAGTGGTGAGGTTTCCTGCAATATATGTAAGTACATATTTTTCACATGAGAGATCAAAAGGCAGTTGGCCATAAACCGTTGCCCTGTAAGCCATATTTCTGAAACTTTTCATAAAAGCTCATACACTCTGATTTGGCAAAAGCACAAATGCGATTACACCTTTGCCATGATCGTCTCCTAGAATGGTTTTAATATCCTGTAAGTGGTGGGTTTTAATGAATATACAAATACAGCATTCTAAAGCGTATGTGCCCCTGTGCTCTGTGATAAACTAAGCTCTAGCCTCATCCGTGTGGGAGGCAACAGAAGCAAAGAGCTTTAGAGCCAGAGTTGAGCCCCTGTTTGCTGCTGACCTGGGACCTGAGCTTGACCTTTCTCCCAGTATTCTCATCTCCCATTCATAGCTCACATCAGTCTCTCTTTGCAGGGGAATTCTGAGGACAGATGGGTTGTTACTGTAGTCTGACCTGTGCTGCCACACCGAATTAAGTCCTTTTTTATTTGTTTGGTTTTCGAGACAGGGTTTCTCTGTAGCTTTGGAGCCTGTCCTAGAACTCACTGTGTAGACCAGGCTGACCTCGAACTCATAGAGATCCGCCTCTGCCTCCAGAGTGCTGGGATTAAAGGTGTGTGCCACCACTGCCCAGCCAGATTAGGTCATTTATAAGAGAAAGAATTTCATCTAATACAGTTATAGGAGCCGGGACATCCAAAGTTAAGAGCAAAGCCACTAGGTCATCAGGTAAAGGCATCTGCCACCAAGCCTGATGACCTGAGTTGACATGGTCTTTCTATAACCCATAATTTAATTGTATACAGACTTATTAATGATGGGTAGCTGAGGGGCCAGACATACCTTGTTCACAGAGTATGCAGCAGTCTGGAAAATAATAGAGAACCTGTATGAAGCACAAGATTTCTGAAGCCACCAGGAGAAGTTCCCCTGTCAACTCTCAACATTGACTTCTGTTCTTCGTCTTGGAATCCAGTAACCCCCACTGCTCTGGGGACTGGGGAAGAAAGACCACAAGACTGAGGCCAACCTTAGCAAAACACTTTCAAAAAGGGAAAAGATGTATCATGTACCCAGCTCTTAAGGAGTTTGTACAGAAAAGGTCTCAACAGCTCTGTATATGAAAGTTCACAGTGTTTGTCCAACAGAGCCAAGATCAGAATGAGCAAATCAATGAGGAGTTGTCTTCTCATTCATAAGACAGAATCTAAGAGAATGTGTTATAAAAATCTATTGCTGGCATTTTAGGAGCTAAGTTGAATGTAATTTAATGCGCCTTAGTCATCTTCTAGAACTGCCCTGTTTGGGATGGTAGCTACAAACCATGGGTGTCTTGTTTGATTTTTAAATCAAATAAACTTAAATTTCCTCAGTCCCACTAGCTATGATCCAGGTGTCCAGGACCACAACTGGTTTGTAGCTGCCATGGACAGCACAGAGCAGAACCTTTTGTTAAAGACTTGGATCTGACATGTCCCTTAAAGTGCTTAAGGTTGAAGGCTTGCTCCCCAGTAGCCAGCAACATAGCAATGTGGTGGGAGCTTTGAAAGAAAGTGGAGCAGAGTTGGATAAAGTGGGTCATAGGGAATCCATCTTTGCAGGGGCCAGGGCTTCATTTTTCTTTCTGGCTGCTCTCAGTGAGCAACCTCCACTGCCTGCTGCCCTGATATACTGCTCAGGGCCCAAAGTGACTGGGCAGACTCTGGTCTGAATTGTGAGCTGTGATACAACTTTTGTTTATCTCAGTGTTCGTCACATCAATATAAAGGTAACACAATTTCTGTCAGTAGGAAGATCATTTAGAAAGCACTGCCCAGATACAAAGAAAGACTATCTTTCTGAAACTGTGTCCACTCCATGAAGTGTGTGCCCTTTTAGCAATGGGTACGCTATGGACCTGTTCCTGTCTTGCTAAACCAAAGCACTGACTCACAGGCTCAGTGCCCATCCAGTTTGCCCAGCTGCTGGGCTTCTGAGCATGTGGCTCAGAATGTCACATGTAACAAGTTTCCAGGTGCTATGATGTCCCTGCTCCAGGAACCACACTCTTCATATTCACAAAGACAGAATCCTGAAGAGCCCCAGCCTTCAGGACCTCAGAAATACCTAGAGAGTGGTGTTGATGATTGTTCAAGCTGTAGGAACCGTGGTGTGTGTGTTGTCTACAGAGGTTGACAACAGCCAGGGTTCTCATATTGGGAGATATGGATGATGCATTCAGAGATGGTAGAGACCCATGGGCAGTTGAACCAGCAGAGCACCAGGGTTATTTACATAGCGATGTGCAGCAGGCTCTCCTGCAGTACTGGAAACTAGTGAGTTTATAGAACCTGCCTTCACTGCTGTCCTAGGCCCATGTGCCTTCTCTCACCTCCAACACACTCCCTTTCACTCTCTTTGCCTTCCTTACAACGCTCTACCCATTCAAAGCCTGTCCTTCATCCTCTCTGATCAGTATTTCATATTACAGGTTCTTTTAGTGAAGCATCAGTCTAATCACCCTTTGAAAGAGAAATTTGCTAATAGCAACAAGTTGGGAATAGACAAAGGCTGTTTGAAGGGAGGCAGATTGACTGAGTATTTTCCATTCCTTCATCTCCCATCCCCACCCCTCAGAGAACCAGTGCCCACAGCAGCCAGCAGCAATATTTTAGTGTCCCTGACTGTGTCTCTGCAAAAGATTAGTTGGGCTTCATAGAGGTCAAGATTGGAGAGGAAGCTACTGGGCAGTATATGAAGTGTAAGGCCTGTGACCCTACATGGAGGGAGTGCATGAAGCAGACAACAGGTGTGGGAAGCCTGTATGCCACAGTAGCCCGTAGAGAAAGGGTGAGGACCATTCCAGAAGCCTGCTTCCTTCCTTGTTGGCATGGATTTTTCTATAGTGTCTGGCTGGCCACAGGCTGGGCGATGCCCTTCATAGGCTACCAGGCACTGAAGTGCTTCCCTGGCCTCCCCCCTCGCCTGTAAGGACAAGAAACATGGGGTGAGCATGTGCCATGGGATGCTGAGTCTTTTCCCACAACTACTTTGATTTTTTTTTTTTTTTTGGACCAGATGGTGGAAAAGAATTTGTGTTGAGGGTACCCCAGTCAGGAAGGTCCCTGACGGGCTTTGGATCTGCCCGGCCGTTGTCCATCACAGGACAAGTGAGGTAGGATTTGGGGGTGGTGAAGAGGATTAAGCACATTAGCAGGCAGGAATCGTGAAAGCTAAACAAACGTCAGTTGTTCTTGATCCTTGCTATTTTATAGCTGTACAGAGGACTGGAAACCACTCAGCTCTCTCCCCGTCACACAGCCGGCGGCTTTGTTTGTGGCTGTCATATCAAGGCAGTCAGGGTGCAGCAGCCAACTGCTTCTGTGTGCTCAGGAAATGCCTGCCTTTTACAAAGCCCTTCTGTCTACAGAGTGGGCCACTGTGATGGGATTTTACCTGTGCCCCATCTCCTTGGGGCTTGAGAGGTGGCCTTTTCCTCCCACCTACCTAACTATCCTGCCTTTATTTTATTAATTTTTTTAAAGCCTAAGTACTGTTAGCAGGAAACATTAAAAATGCTTTACAGCTAGAACTTAGGAAGATGGCCTCTGGCCGCCGGTAGAGCTAACCTGCGCCTTAAGAGCTGAAGAGCTTGGTTTGGTCCCATACACAGAGGAGCAGGGATGGCAATGACAGAAGTGACCTGCCAGAACCCCATTGAAGGAGTCCCTGTGGGGGCTGCTCAGATAAGTGGCTGGCAGCTGACATTCCGGCCCCCAGCCAGCGGTCTGGAGCCATACACATTAGGCCTCTCAGCAGTGTTTATCTCTAGAGACAGTTTATCTCGGGCTTGCTCCCTACCCCCCCCCCTCCGCCCAGTGCTACCTCTCTGCATCGCCCCATTTCCTAGAGATGCTGGGATTATGCTGTCATTTTCCTAAATCTGAAGAAACCCCTTGTCTTGGGAGTCATCACTGCAGCCTCCTCCATGGTCAGTGCTGATGGTGATGGCCTTTTAGAGTTTGTTGTCAGTCTGGTTTGTAATTCAGGTGTTTTGTGGTAAACATTAATTATGTCAGCCAACATTCAGTTACAAATGAGGACTCCTGAAATGGGCTCTTATCAGGAGGTGACACTTGGCAGATGGATGGCTTTAGTTACAAAAAGTGAGTTGTTTTAACCTCGCCTGGTAAACTGCAAAACCTTAACCCCCTTTCTACTTTATTTACCTCCTGTAGTCCCAGATGAGAGAAGGGAGCCAAAGGGGAGTCATTCACTCACTACCTCAACAAATATGTATGAAAAGCTTTCTAAATACCCAGTACTGTTGAACCCAAGCATTTGTAGAGATTTCCCTTAAAGTCCTGCTGCCACTTGAGTCACACTCAAAAATGAGTGCCTATTCTGTGAGATGTTACCTTAAGAGGCCTAGAGCCCAACTGAACTCAGATAAACAGGCATCTCTTTTTCCTTCTTTTGTGGGGAGGGTGGAGACTGGGACAGAGTGTTGACCAGGCTGGTCTTGAACCCACAGAAATCTGCCTGCCTCTTTCTCCTGGGTCCCTAAATTGAAAGCTTGTACCACCAAAACCATCAATAAATGCTATTTTAAAAGACAAAATAAAATAAGGAAGACTTTTGTGGAAATATTAGCAAACAATATTCAGAACCCTATAATTTACACGGTGTCCAACATTAAGACAGAAAAAGGCTGTGAAAAAAGTAGCTGTAACTGTGTTGCTGATGTGCATCTGCAATTATAATTGCAAACTAACTGCTTGTTTGTTCAGTTCTTATTAATATCACTGTTGACTGTGATGTTACCTTTTAGGGTACCATTCCAGTGCCTCCTGGGTGCAGGGATAGAGCAGGCCTTGGCTGGACAGCCTCAGATGCACACAGTGCCTAGTGCAGAATGCCCATAGAATTGGCACTGGAGATGATAGGTAAAACTGGAGCCTGAGGCTGAGAAGAGCTTGGGATGTGCGCTAAGGGGAGTTTGAATTCTGGGAAGAAGCTGTGGGGGCCTCAAACTTCCAGCGAAGTAGTTACAGAAGGGCCAAAGCTTTGTACTTTTTCCCCTTCAAATGCAGCTTCTCCCAGTGTCTGTGCTTGAAGGTAGGATGCTCACAAGGTTAGAGAGAACCTCCAAACTCCTGCCATGCATCCTCTTCATCAACCCCAAGTCCCTTGCAAAAAAGTCTCCAAATCGCAAGTGTTCACTCTTCCTCCTGCTTCCAGAGGACCTTTAATCTGTCCTTTTGTCTCTCTGGTGAAGTTGATAAACTGGCCCCGCATCCTGCTCCCTTTATCTGCCTCTCCATACAAGCCTATGGCAGTGAGGCCAACCACTTCACAAGCGCCTTTGTGTTAGTGCTCAAAAGAAAGGCTTTAAAACCTGTGATCCTGAAGCTCCGGGACGGCTCTGCTTCCACCAGCTTCCGCAGTTGTCCAACCCTGAAAGCACCAGTATGACCAGCCATGTGTGAATGGTGGGTGCCAGTGAATGGGCCTCCCCAGAAGAAATCATCCTTGGAAGACTATATATCTGAGAAGGTACTGGGCAACTGAATTGCTGAGCTTTCTTTGTCAACAGTGATCGATAGAACATTTCTGGACTTGGGCAGAGGTGGAAATGAGGGAGATGCTCTTCCAGTCTGTTTCTTGTGGAAATAATAACTGGGTGTTTTGAAGAGAGCTGAAAAACATTCCCAAGTGTCACCAGAGAGACACTGATGAGAGAAAGCAGGACTCTGATTGGGCCAACATTCTCTTCTGCTATCCATACTTCACTGTTGATGTTCTGCCTTCCACAAAGCAGAGGGTTAGTAATGTGCTGGGTGCCTTGATACTCTCTGGGGTTGCCAGCAACGAGCATCACAGTCTCAGGAGGTCCAAGAGAACCACGCCCACAGATGCACAGATGGCCCATAGATCTCTACTGTGGCTAAAGGGAAAAACGTGGAACACGCACTTAAAAAGAAGCAGAAGACAGGCATAGTGGCATGTGCTTGTAATCCTGGCACTCAGGAGGCTAATGTAGGAGGATTGCTTTGAGTTCGAGGCCACCCTGGGCAACATAGAGAACTCCAGGCTAGCCTGGACTAAGAATAGGACGCTGTCTCCCAAAACCAAAAGGTGAAAGGGAAGAAAGGAAGAGAAGGAGAGACTGAGTTCCAGCTCACTCTGAAGTGCTTCTTCTGTGGCCATCCCTCGCTCCCCGACCAAGTCTTCTGTGTATGGCCTGCATCCCTGTCTGTCCCTAAGGCATTACTCACCATGCACTGCAACTCTGTGCGGTCTCCTTCCCTGGACAGAGCCCAGCAGAGGAACATCCCCCCTCCCCTGCCCCCCAAAGTAGATAGTCCCCAGCAGGCAGTTGGTATCTGCTGTCAGGGAAGACAGGCCCAATAAAAACAGGCTTCTTTGGGGGAGTGGAGGCTGAGGGGATGTGCAGGGCACTTTGAATTCTCAGCCGGTTCTTTGTTCAACCCACCAGGAAGGTGGGCCCCACACAGCCCTGAGCTGACTCAGGCCTTCCTGCCCCAACTCACCTTATCTTGATGAAGCAAGCGATTTGTTTCCCTTCTCTGTGAGCAGAAGCAGCAATTGAAGCGTGCCCAGCAGAACTGTGGGTGGTTTTCTGACTGTAGTCCATTAAGCTGTGAATCCTAAAGTGATTTCACTTACCAATTTCCTGTAGAAAGCAACAGCTTGCTGCTCTTCAAGAACTGAGCTTCTGCCTGAGCTGTCTTGTTCTAAGTAGAAGCACAGTCCAAAATTCCTATTGCACAACACAGACTACTGCAGTTGGCACACCAAAGGTGGCAGGGGGTGGAGGTGGTAGGGGCGCTTGAAGAAAGAGTCCCCATTGCAGCTGCTGTTTTAACCATGTCAAGTTGGTTCTTTTTCAGTCAATTCTAGGATAAAACCCACCTGGAGCTCAGCCTTACCATCCCTCCCATGAGTCCCCCGTCTCTCCTTGCCCATGCTCTGTTGCCACAATGGGTTTTTCTTGACAAGACAAACACTTCTTGCCCTTGTCAAACCCACACCCCATGCTGTGGCTGTCATAATGCATATCATACTCAACTCAAGGCCTGTGGGTCCAAGGCAACTCATGAGTTCTTCTGGGACTTTCCCACATGTGGTGCTCAGGAGCCTTAAAGTCACCACCATGTGCCCTGAGAGACTCTGCCATCTGACAGTCACAGAGTTAGCTGTGTTTTCCATCCAAACACAAAGAAGTCTGGGTCCATCACCATTTACTCCTTCAGCTGCAACTGGGTAACCCAACCTTGCCTCCCTGCCTTCGAATTCCTCGAGAGGATTTCTTACTAAGATAAGTGTTTGTCACTGGAAAGGGTACCAAGACTCTTACCTTAATGAATTAAAAAAAAATGCCTCTGTTGTTATTTCCAACAAGCCTGCCCTTTGGGTGTCTCTGATGTGGGAAGGGGGCTACTGGACATCCTGTGTAGCAACCATTTCCTAAAGCATATATCTGATTGCATGCAATAGTGCCAGGTATCACTAGGCCATACTGACCCCAACTGCCCCTCACCCCAACCCAGTCTGGTTGCATGTGCAATACTGCCAAGAATCACTGGGCCATACTGATTCCAGTGGTCCCCACCCCTCCTTGAAATGCTTCTAAGAATCACCAGCGACCCAGGTTGATATCTGAAGCCTCAGATCATGCCACGCCCTATTGTACCCTTGTCAGGAAACCTGCTGAGATTAATTGCTAAGTGCTTAATGGGAAGGTGGCATAAACATGGCAGTCACGGTGGACAAAGTGATGGTTCACACCCTAGGTGAGGTAGAAACACACACAACTTAAAGCTTAGTGACTATTGGGCTGGAGACATGGCTCAAAAGTTAAGAGCACTGGCTGCTTTTCCAGAAGACCTGAATCTGATTCCCAGCACCCAAGTAACAGCTCATAACCATCTGTAACTTCTCTGATTTTCCATTTAATATTTCTGGACTGCAGGTGAAGCCTTGGATAAAGGGAGCTGTTAGAACCTCCTCATTTGTAAGGTGACAGTAGGTTGTGTAGGTTGGTTTAGCATGTGTAATTCATCTCCAAAGTACCTGGTTCTAATAACCACAATGCATTCTGGCTAGGGTGTCAAATTAGCATGGCCAATCTAAAGATGCCCAAGAATAAGATAGCTCCTTTTGTCTGCCTTAAATGCACTCATGGGTGTCCAGCACCCTGCTCTCTTCCTAACCCTCTGCTTCCTCACAGTCCCTGAGTCCATTCTCCTCACTGTGCTGTAGGGAGACGCCACTCCTTATCTGTTTCCAGGTCCCTTCTCCAGCCCGCTCTTGCAGCGCTGCTTTCCCCGCTCTAGCCTCTCTGCTGTTCCAAATAACTGGGACTACTCCCAGGATCCAAGGATGCTTACCATCCAGTTAGCTGGGTCATGGCCTAAATCTTCTCAGAGGAAGGCTTTCTGTGAGCAGTCCTGTCACCTGTATGGCATTGTCCTATTATGAGCTCCATTAACACACTCTGTGTTGGTTCCTCTTACTTAATGTCCTTGTGCTGGGCTCTGGGGAATGGTTGTTCACTGGTAAAGGAGGTATGCAGATAGAAACCAGAGTCTCAGTGTGGCCCCGAGGCAAGCTCAGTTCTGCATCAGTGTGATTGGGCATTCTATTTGGCCCACAGGGAAGCAAACCTTACCCAGGAGGGGAGGCCAGTAGGCCTGACTGGCCTCCCAAGCAAGTAGTGATGCTGCTCCCATGCCTGTGTCCTGGCTAGGGATTCCAACCTAGAGTCAGGACTGGACTCGGTACTGACTTCCCAAATATCACAGTGTTGGGAAGCATGAGGGGCAGCAGGAGCCACCTGCACTAACCCACCAAGCGCTCTGCAGCAGCACAGCCCTCCCTAAGGCAGAGGAGCATCTTAGAGGACACCCACCTCCCAATTTGCCTACTAGGCTGAGTGAAACAGAGAGGAGAGCAAAGAAGGTGTCCTAGGTAGTTTTATGTCAAGTTGGCACAAGATAAAATATCTGGGAAGAAGCAGCACAATTGAGAAAAGATCTCCATCAGTTTGGCCTGTATGCAGTTCTGTTGGGGCTTCTTTTTTCTTTTTTTTTTTTCTTTTTTCTTTTTTAAGATTAATATGGTAGGGCCCAGCCTATTGGAAGCTCTGTCACCTCTGGGAAGGTAGTCCTCCTAGATTTTATAAGAAAGTAGGCTGAGCAAGCCAAAGCCTCATTCCCCCATGGTCTCTGCTTCATTCAGTTCCTGCCTCCAGGTTCCTCCTGTGGTCCTGTCCCAACTTCCCTCAGTGACTTGTAAGCAGAAACAAACCCTTTCTTCCTGATGTTGTCGTTGGTCATGGCGTTTTATCACAGCGGTAGAAAGCACACTGGGATCGAAGGGCTGGGATATGAGTTGCTGCTCACCTGGGTACAGGCCTCCAAAGTTCAGCAGGACTTTGAGACCAAGAGAAACTTCCTTTGGAAATCTCCCAGCCCCTGACTGCTCCCCTTTCTCCCCACTCCCCTGCACAGGAGCGCTTCTTCTGGGAGGTATCCTGTATTCCTGGCAGTTCCCACACTTCAACGCCCTGAGCTGGGGCCTCCGTGAAGACTACTCCCGAGGAGGCTACTGCATGATGTCCGTCACCCACCCAGCCCTCTGCCGGCGTGTGGCACTGCGGCATTGCCTGGCCCTGATTGCACTGTCGACTGCTGCCCCCGTCCTGGACATCACCACATGGGCCTTCCCCATCATCTCCCTGCCCATCAACCTGTACATTTCCTACCTCGGCTTCCGCTTCTACATGGATGCAGACCGCCGGAGCTCGAGGAAACTGTTCTTCTGCAGCCTGTGGCACCTACCACTGCTCCTATTGCTAATGCTCACCTGTAAGCAGCGGCCAGGTCGGGAGGGAGACAAGGGAGAGGCTCCAAGCTGAAAGCTGGCATGTGGGGAACCTGAGAGCAGACACGTGCAGACTAATGCATTGCACGGCCCTGTGCCAGAGGGAAGTGTATTTTGGTGATTCTGGAAAGCAAAAGGAGAAATGGATGGTATCAGTCGGTGACAGATCATCTGGTGCTGTGTCGTCACTTAACAGTCCTTTTTATATTAATATCCAAACCGCCTCCCAAATAAGAAAGGAACTGGCATAGTGAGTTAATATAAAAAAGAGTATGTTTCTCCTTGAAGGTTTTTATGATCTTTCCCTCCATCCCTGTGTTCTCTCACCCACATGATGCTTATGCACACCTTCCTTCACACACACACACACACACACACACACACACACACACACACACACCACAGTTGCCACCGGTCAAACAGGCGGGTGCTTATAACCCAGCCTCTGTAGTTGCATATCCTGAGGCTCTCACAGGCTGCCTCAGAAGAACACATACTGTGGCCTACAGCACCCCTTCTCTGCCATGGAGATGGCGCCTGACTAGCTTTCTCCTACCAGCATCCTCAACCACATATTCCCTTGAGTAACAGAATACCCAGCACAGCCTGCACATTGGGAGTGAGGACTCCAAACGGTTGCCTGCAGGATCCCAGACTGCACCCCCATCCCCACCCCGGAAATACAACGTGTCTTCATCACTCACGTTGAAGTATAGACACGGTTTGAGCATTTCTTTCTGGAAGGGTGGCATTTGACATCCCAGAACCCCCTCAGGTACTGAGCCACCACAGTCCACTGTAGTTGTGCTGTGGGTGTCAGGATTCACTGGTGACCTTTTTGGGGCTGAATGGGAGAGAGCATGAGCTGGGCCAGCAGCCATTCTGTACCCATTCTTACCTCTTTAGTGTAAACAGCATTTCCATGCTGGTGCCTCCTGAGTCCAGAAATTCGCCTCTGTATGTCCAGTGGTATTCAGAGAAAGCCAGTTGGGTTCCTAGTGACCATGGGTTCAATTCTGGGAATTCATTGCCTCTGATACAAAATACAGTCTTCTCTGTACTCCTCCCGGTCCACAAAGAGGCCTGTTGCCTTAAAGTTGTGGAGCTTGGCAGGGTGTTTGAGTTCCATGGTTTCCCAGGGAGCTGTGCCCTGTTGGGATTCCCTCAAGGAGTTTAAGCCACATGAAAACAGTCTTGAATTTGGACTGTTCTCCCCAAAATGTGGAAAGCTTGAGCTGTGGCCCAAAGGCAGAGCACTTGCTTAGCCATGCGCTAGGGGGTTGATCTCAAGCAACTTCCCCAAAACAAGAAAAAAATGGGGTGGGTGGGGTAGCGTCTAGAGTGACTCAGATAGTGTGCCTGGTACCTCTTTCTGCCTATTGTAACATTACCTCCTGGCTGTGTCCTGGCTGTTTACTGTGGGACAGGAAATGGGGATGTCTGCAAAGGGCATCTGTGATTTGTCACAGCCTTTCAGTCTGTGGAGTGTGTTGATTCTCCTCCTCCCGCAATAAAACAGTTACAAACAGGAGTGTGTGTCCTGTTGTTACTCAGCCTCCCAAGCCCCACAGCTGAGCACTGGCTTCCTTCCTCCAGCAGCTAGCAGACTTCAGCAGGTGGGTGTTTCCTTCTTTCATTTTCCCTAACTGTAAACTGACAAATTATACTTGTATCTACTTAGAGAGCACAGAGCAATGTGATTTATGAGTCCAAGGTGGAACTGGTTGATATAACCATTGCCTCAAATGGTCATCACTGTATAATGAGGATATTTGAAATGTGATGATGTTTAAAATGTGTTATTTACTGTACTTACAACAGAGTGAGATATTAAAAAATAGCAACAAAAACAATAATAATAATGCCCTTCACTCCCTGTATGGCCATGCACTGTGGCCATCATCTCCTCTAACTCCTCATCCTTTGCCAGCCCGCCAGCCTTCTGTTTCGGGTTTAAATGACTTTTGTTTTGTTGTGTTGTGATGGTAGTTTTGGGTCTCATGTGGCCCAGGAATGACCTTGAATACCTGATATGTGTCTGCCTTCCAAGTGTTAGGATCGCAGGCATGCCACACCTGCATCATGCAGAAGCCACACAGAATAAGATTACATGCTGTTGGTCTCTCCAAGCCTGGCTTACCTCAATCAGCAGAAGTCTTCCACTGGTCCCCATAGTGTCGCAGATAGTAAAATTTAACTCTTTATGTGACTATACTGTTGTAGGTATGGACCCCATTGTCTCTGTCTGTTAATTGCTACTGTTAGCATCTGGATCTAGGGTGGCATCCAAAGACTAACCTGTTAACTGCTTGATCTCCAGACTGGGGTGTGGGGGTGGTGGATCCTCTAAGGCACAGGCTCTTCTGGAAGCCCTTGATGGGATGGTAGGACCCCAGCCCTTCCTGTCAATCACGCCTGTGGTCAGAAGGTAGCAGCATTCGTCTGCCACATACTCTGGCCAGAACCAGCTGCCTTACAGAACCTGAGAACTCCAACGCTGTGGACCAAATAAAGCTTACAGAACCTGAGGACTCCGACGCTGTGGACCAAATAAACCTTCCTTCTTTTCCCGAATGCCTCAGTCGCAGTCCTTACAATTCTGCAATGCTAACACAGCTTCCCATCCAGCATTTTCTCAAAGCCACGCAGTCTCCCAGCTGCCTTCAGACCATCCCCGTTAATCTCCCATAGGGTCTCCTCATCCTGTCCTACTCGGGATGTCACAGAGCTGTGACTAGCCCTCGACACCCAGATCTCACTGTACTCTCCAGTGTGCTCAGCACCTTCTTCCATGCGGTGCCCGCCCCACACCAGGCTGCTGAGGCTCCCTGTGCTCAGGATGACCCCACTTACCACACACCATGACTCCCACAGCCTTCAGGGCTCTTGGCTGGCCTGCCTGCTTTCTCTTCTTTCAGATGTCCTGCAGTTCCATGTCCTAAGAACCCTGCCCACTAGAGATCTCTCAGAGTCCCAGGAAACATGAACAGAGTAAGACCTCCGGGGACTAAACCTTTCAGACTAAAACCTGAAAGGTTAGGCTTATGGAAGCAGGTGTTTCCTCACCTTCCTAGGCCCAGAACCTTCCTGTGTTGACACTCCCTAGTCCTAGGGCCCACAGAGGCATGTAATGTGTGATGCTGACTAGGTGCAGGTACTGCCCGGTGTGAAAGGGCTTGTAGTATATGGAAAAACAAGAGACCCAGGATAGCCAAAACAACTTTATTCAACAAAGCAACATCTGGAGGCATCACCATCCCTGACTTCAAGCTCTATTATAGAGCTGTAGTCCTGGAAACAGCTTGGTATTGGCACAGAAATAGACAGGTAGACCAATGGAATCGAATTGAACACCCTGATATTAACCCATACTTGTATAAATATCTGATCTTTGACAAAGAAGCTAAAAATATACAATGGAAAAAGAAAGCATCTTCAACAAATGGTGCTGGCATAACGATGCTGGCATGTAGAAGAATGTGGATGGATCCATGTCTATCGCCATGCACAAAACTTAAGTCCAAATGGATCAAAGACATCAGCATAAATCCAGCCACACTGAAGCTCTTAGAAGAGAAAGTGGGTGGTACCCTTGAACGAATTGGTACAGGAGACAGCTTCCTGAACATAACACCAGTAGCACAGACAGTGAGGTCAACAATTAATACATGGGACCTCCTGAAACTGAGAAGCTTCTGTAAGGCAAAGGACACAGTAAGACAAAAAGGCAGCCCACAGAATGAGAAAAGATATTCACTAACCCCACATCTGACAGAGACTTGATCTCCAAAATATACAAAGAACTCAAGAAACAAGTCTCCAAAACACTAAAGGATCCAATTAAAAAGTGGGCTACAGGACTACATAGAGAATTTTCATTGGGATTCATAACTAGCAAAATTACAGTTATGAAATAACAATGAAAATAATTTTATGGTTGGGGTCACCACAGCATGAAGAACTGTATTAAAGGGCTACAGCATTAGGAAGTTTGAGAACCACCATCTTAGAGTATAAGCTCCTCACAGGTTTTCATCACCCCACCTCCAGTACCTAAAACACTCAGCACACAGAAGACCAATAACTTCCCCATTGATTGACTATACCACTGGACTGTATCCTGAACCCATATCTACTTTTTTCTTTGAGACAGTATCTTATTAAGTTGCCTAAATTGGCCTTTGAATTCACTCTAGCCTGCACTGCCCTGTACTGTGATCTTGTTCTTGCCCCTCAGGGGCCTGCAGCACCAGACCTGACCACTAGATTTGAGCTCCCTCCTCTCCAGAGTGCATGAGAGCCACCATCATGCATCTGCCAGCTGAAATGGAACCCTTCCGGTTCACCAAGTGAGGAGCAACTGTAAAAGCCTGGAAACCCCAGGTACAGAGAACAAGGCCAGTGGCTCCCATTCAGTAGAAGCCATGAAGTTCCAGGGTCTTCCAGAAAAGCTGGTCTCTTGTTCAGATAACACCAGGGGGCGCTGCAGGAAGACATGGTAATTGAGAGTGTAAAGTGTGTGGTTGAGTAACCCCTCCCAACCCTATCTGCCCAGAGGGAGGCAAGGTGCCTAAGACAAACAACTCAGAGAAGAATGTCCAGGCAAACACAAACAACGCCCTCACCCTTCCCA